ATTTGAGGTGAGCGGCGGAGGGGCCACACATCCCGCAGTGATGGGCGTCGTTGGCCCAGCGGGTGCCTCTGAAGGTTTTGTTGGATGCAGCGTCCTTATGCCCGTCTCCGGATGGCGGCATCCCTGATGCAGCCAACGAACGGGGCTGGGAGCGACGGTGAGACGCAAGCACGTGTGGATGTTTGGAGCGGCCGGCGCACCTCACGCTGAGCGCATGGCGCGGTGAGGGCCGGACCCAGAAAAGGGACACCGCGTGGGACGTCAGTCTTCACTGCAGCGACCGCCACCGAATTCGGATTTGCTCGCACCTTCTGCGGTCCCTCTTCCTCCCTCACTTCTGTGCCGAGGACTGTGCCGCGGCATCCAGCAGCGCGATGTTTGGCCGCAGGAACATGGCTCGAACAAATCGTTTGTGGGAGGGGATGTGCACTGCGGGGAAAAAGAAAAAAAATAGTTGCGAGACGACCACCACCACAAGGCCGGAGTGAAGTTGTGTTTTGTCCACTTGCGCGAGGGCGGCCTGCCACCTGGTCGGTTAGGAGGATTATTTTTTTTGTGTGTCGTTGCGCTCTCTTTTTATTCCGCTGCGTTTTCATGCGGACCTGCGAAGGAAGATTTGCAAGAAGTACCTGCGAGGCGTCCGTGCCGTTGTCGTAAAAGCGATTCCCTCTTGAAAAACGCTACTTTTTAAATTTGTTTTGGGCGGGGAGTTCCTGTCGATTCACTGAGACTTTGTTTTGCGGATTTGATGCCTGTGTTTCCGAGCGGTTCGATCTGTGCTCCCGGTCCACTCGGATGTGGTGTGCGCGTCGACGTGAAGGTGCCTGCCAGTCGTTTTATTGCCTCCCCCGCTGTGGCTGCCGCCGCTGCCTTCTTCCCTCCTGAGGTCCTGCGGCTTCTTGACAAGATGTTTTGGAGAAAGTGTTGCCGCTCTTATCGTCCATGGTATTTTGATTCTGGTGTTGTGGTCAGGAGACATTGAACGAGAGGGTTTGTTGCCCTCTTGTCTTATTTACCCTCTCTGCCTGACGGCCAGTTCTACACAAACGTGCTCCTCGGCACCTCAGTTGGTGCTGGCGGGTTTGCTCACACTTGTCACTGGGAATCGCATGCGCCAACTCTTCTCTGCTCCCTTTCAGTGTCGCACTTTTTTATTGATTGACGGACGCCATTCTGTCCGGCGTGCCACGTTGATTGGATTGTGTGGGATTGCTCTCTAACGCCATCGGAGAAAGCAGGCCGGCTTTTCACGTGTTTAAATGCCATCTTGCGCGCAGGTATTTTTTTCCACATGTTCAGTTGATGTGCACTCAAACAGCGAGGTGTCCGGAGCTATGTGTGCGTGGAATTCTTCCTGCCATGTGGACTGCGGGCAACACCGAGAGGCTGCCACTTTGACTCCGCAGAGTTTTTGTGTCTCTTTGCGGGGTTGGCAGGGAAATTCCATGCAGCCTGCTACTGCTGGTGTGTCCTTAGATGTTGTCACTCCATGCGAACAATGTGCTTCAGCGAGTGAGGGGAATGATTGGGTTTGTGTGCGCTCTGGTTCTGTTTGCTACTTTGTGCGGGCACGCAATACTTGCTTGGTGGTAAAACGGAGCGGAGCGATGCATGGCCGCGTATCGCCCATCGTTCACTGCACGATGGTGTGGTGCACATTGTGGTGTTGACTCTGCGATGTGACTGCGGTCTTCTGCGCGGCAATGGTGGTGGGTGGAGGAGAGTGCTGACCCGCGGCGGGACGGTTGGATCGTGCCTCCTTTTCTTTCTTCCTTCCCTTTTGTGAAGGTGCACACTTATTTTTGGTGTCGGTGATGAGGCAAACAAACAAACAGAAAACGTGAATAAAACAAAATAAAAAAGGGCGATGATGTGGCGGTGTTGTGGCCGATTGCACGTTGTGTTGCTGCGGGGGCGGTGGGCCTCGACTGCTTCACCGACAGGCGTTGCAGTGCGGCTGCATGGCGCATCGACCACCGAACCGTGCGAGTGCCGCGCCCAACGTCATTGGGACAACGAGACGAAACAGCCGCGACTGTCCTTTGGAGCCAGCGGCACCTGCTGGCCGCAGTTGGGCGGTGCGAGTGGGATGCTTCACTGCACGGGTGTTGTGATGGCACCTCGCCGTGGCTCTTGTGATGGTTCCGACGCTGCAGCTCGACATGTGGCGGGGAGTAAAGTGTGGCCGCAGTAGAGCAATGAGAAGCACCGTAGAGGCTGAACGATTTCCTTTGGAATTATGTTGGCGGCAGGGCGGCCGTTGATGAAAGACTACAATGTGACGATGGAGATGTTTGTTCAGGAGCCGGATGATTACGTACAAGACCAGCGGCTTCCTGAAGAAATTCTGAACTTAACTGCGTACCAAGCGCTGTAGGCCATTAATAAGCCTCTTCACGAAGGTGTGTACTTTCTCGGGCGACGTGGGAACTATGAAAGAAATGGATACGATCACCCCTCTTGCAAGGGGAAAACCAAACGGGGTACTCACGCAGGTGCTGACAGAAGCGAGGCGGGAGGCAGCGGAAAGGCTAAGACGAACGCAAGAAATGAAATTTACCATTTCCACTAATATCGAAGAGGTACTGTTTAAAGGAAGAGTTCACGTCAATGAAATGAAGCTGAACGACTTTCTTACGAGGGAACCGGACGGCAGGGGCGTTGTGGACACCAATCGGGATGTCTTGCTGGAGGAGTTTTCCAAGGGCCCCACGAAGTATATCCGTGATAAAGGAGCACTGAACGAAATACAGGCATTCGGTCATTATTTGAGTATGAAGCGAGCTGTGAAGGGTGAAGTGATCTTCGACGAGGATATACGCAAGCTATGCGATAAGGGTGTCGACAATCCACCGGGGTGGTCATTAGCTGCTGCGGGGGTAAAAGCAGCTGTCCATAACTCCACCAAACATTTCTTGGATGCAGCTGCCGAGGAAGCGAGGAACCCAACGACGACGAGCGCACCGGAGAAACTGGAGGGATTGTACGAGTCTTTGCACAATGCGAGGTGGAGTCATGCGGTGGAACTTCCGGACGGCGTGGAGCGAAAGAAAACGGGGACGGGAATGGAGGTGCATGAGGGGAGGCCAGAACAGTCATGGTCGTACAGGGAAGCTGACGACGCTATCGAAGAGAATGACGCTGTGCAGCAATCCGGTGCGGCACCTCCCGTGTTGATGGTGCTTGCCTCGGAGAAGGGATGGCCGTACTCGTGGCATACGATACAGGATCTTCCTAAGGACGTTTTTGTAAACTGTGCGGTGGAGCGACTGTGGCAGATCGTCAAGGTCGATCTAACCGAATGGTTCAGCCCTTACGGTGGGACCGACTTTGAGCCCGAGCGACGTGTGTTGATTGGGACGCCAGGGATCGGGAAGTCGGTGGCTGCCGGCTCGTACCTCCTCTACCAGCTGCTGCACTACGATGTCGAGAAACTCCAAGTGGTAGTCCACTGTTTTGGTGGAGGAGATGCGTACGTGTCTGACAAGAGCACCAGAGCGGTGACAAGATGCGGCGATGAGGACATGTGCGTCTCTGAGTTGAGACGTTTGAGGGGGCATGGGAGGAATGTGTATATTATCTACGATGCGGCAAAGGAGGGAACGCCGCCACCGAGGGATTTTGCGCCTACTTCTGGATGGGGCATGATTGCGGTGCCATTCCCAAAGGTAGCCAACTATGATGAGTGGGCGAAGCAACTACAAGCCGAGCGAATCATCGTGAATTGCCCCGACGAGATGGATGTGAAGGCGGTGTGCGCCTGGATGACGCGTGACGAGACCAAAGAGAAACAAGCGGAGTGCTGGAAAGAGGTCAAAGAACACATGTATCTTTTGGGACCGATTCCACGTCACGTCTTTGATGAGGAGGCGTTTAGTGGACGCTGTGGAGCGGTGAAGTTTGCATTGCAATCGATCAGCGAGGTAACTGCGAAGGAGCATTTTTCACGGGGAGGTGAGTCGCCACGGTATTCTGAGGATCCGTCCCACAAGCTTGTGAAGGTTGTTCGGGAAATATACGCAGGCGGTGAGACCCTTTTCAATGCACCGATATCTGCTTGCCTAGAGGAACGGACATTTGAACGCCTCCCAAGTGTAGCAGAATAAAATAGCCTTTTGAGGCCGATGTTGGCGTCGAGGGATAATATTTTGCCAATATTTTCTTGGATGGTTTGCTTTGGAATTGTTCACGGAGAGTGCCTTTGTCAGGGTATTAGCGAAGAAACTCACGGAGTTTGAGGCGCCAACAGGACGTCAAGCAATGCCCTGCGTCTTGAAGTTGGCCCCTGAATTGCATCCCAAGGGAGACGAGGGTTTGCTGCTGAGTGAATATGAAAAAACGATCCGTAAAATAAAGTACGGGGTGCTGCACAAACCGTGGGCCACAAACTTTTCGCTGGTGGACGTCTTTGTTTTTCAGAGTCCAATCCAATGAAGCTGGTTGGGCTGCGGATGAATATGGCGGGTGGGCACCACACCACCGCCAGCACTGTGCGGCAGTTCACTGAGTGCCTGGCGGCATATTTTAATGGTTGGGAGGAATTATCCCGAGACATGTCGTGGGAGATTATTTATGTGCAGCAGGCAGACAGCACGCCGATGAATGACTGGCGGAGATGTGATGTCGTCAATTCCAATAATGTGAGCGACGATGAAGGCCGCGGAATAGCGGCGTTGTGGAACGGAAAAGGTGCGGCAGTACCAAGTGTCAATATCGAAAAAAGTTTTAGAAAATGTCGTAGGAGTTTTAAATTTGTGAAGCAAAAAGGCTTCGAAGGGAAAATGGAAGAAATAATTGAGGGTAATTGGCGCGGTGCGTTTATGATGAATTATGTTAGGGAGTGTTTTAACGATTTTTTTATTTGTGTGTGACTGCAGGGGTTGGTCAGGGAACGCCTTTCTTCCGAGGGAATCATTGCGGTCAACAGTCTCGCACCACTACAATCATTTTTTTATTTTATTTTTTTTTTACTTCTGTGAAGGCTCCGTCGTTCCTGGAGGATGATGTGCAACATCAGTGTGCCCATCCGGCTGTTGGTTTTGGTGCAGAACGGGCGGGAGGCGATGCTGTCGTTGTGCCTGCAGGAACTCGAGAGGGTCTATGGGTGGTCCGGACGCCTGGTTGTGAGTCGTCACCCGGAAAACATCGGGTACAGCGCTGCCGTGAACATCGGGTCACGAATTGCACTCTTGCTGCCGCACGAGGAAGTGCCTTTTGTTTTTGTAACGAACAGCGACGTAGAGTTTTCACCCGATCTTCTTCCCAACCTTCTACGCGATGTGCATGAAATGACGAGGCATGATGCCGCTCGCATGGATGAGTTGTCGGCGGAGGTGGCGAATGAGCCGAGCGAGTCCAGTCCTGTTTTGCGACGGGGCTTGAGGGTGCTGCGCTCCACGGTGAACGATAGCCGATTGTCGACGTCTGCGCTGCTGCCTGACCGCATCCGTTATGCTTCTGTGAAGGAGCGTGAAAAGGCGTTTTCGAAGCATTACGGGCATTTTGCGCGTATTAAAAAGCAGTTGTTTTACATCTGTTATGTTGACACGCCTGGCGATCAGCACGGTGGAATATTTTGAAGAGAACTTCTACCCAGCTTGCGTGGAGGATGTCGACTACAGCTTGCGTCTCCGTTTGCTTGGAATTCAAGAGCGGAATGTTTTATGCGGCAAATTTGTGCATCGCGGCAACTATAATATTCGTTTCTCTAATGAGATGGGGCTGCCGGACGCTCTCTGGTACCGTCGCGTCAGGTCTTTGAGTGCGAAGGATGCATATGCCATGATGAAGTGGGGCCCTCAACGGGCGTGCAGTGGCGGGTGCAAGGGGCCATATGACGGCATGGTCCCCGAAGACTTTTGGGTGAAGGATGAGGCACGCATACAGCGCATTCGGGTCCACGGGCATGACGAGGAGCAAGGGGTTCCAAAGGTTGAGTACGACAGGACACTTTTGTACCCTTTCACGACGAAAGGAAGATGAACTGGCGCCAGTCGCAAGTTTCGTGTTTTTATTATTTTATTTTGTTTTATTTTTTACTTTAATTATTAAAAGTTTCCTTTTTATATATTTACACAAATGATATTTAAGCGAATACGCCATGGGTTTTAAAGAGCGCAACCATATATTTGACATGACAGGGGGAGGGCGCAGCGTCCAAAACTTGGCCGTGTTGCCGAGGGTAGGTGAGGGAGGTAGAAAGTAAGAAACGTGAAGATGATGGATGAGGGAGAAATAACAGGGGAGGGAAGCAGAAAACAAGCCAAAAATATTATGAGCACAACGCTGTTTCTCACGGCGGGCGATCGACGCCCTCATTGGCTACTAAGTTACCCACTGAAGGTGACACCCGTTTCCGCTGAATATGCTGCGTGCATATCTGTCGGGCTCTTTTTTGTTGGTTTGTTTGTTTCCCGCACATTTATTTCTCCGTGCCGCCTGACCCACTCGTTTATTATTCCCCTCTCCGTTTTTGTGCGTGCACCGAGAGAAGGGCTCGGGGACATGAAGTGCGCTCCCCTTCTGCGAGATGCCACCAAAAACAGGAGGAGAACAAAAATGAAAGTGAAGCGGGGAGGGGAACCATCGTCACGCGTCCTTTTCTCCGAGAAGGCTGCTCGCCACGCCACTGAGGCGCGCCGTGTGCTTCACGAGGCCCGCTGGACTCGATTGGGGAGCCGTGAATGATGGCGCGTGTGAGTGTGGCGGATGCGTCCCCCAGGCGTCCCTAGAGGACCCTCTGGCCATTGGGACTGCGTGGAATGCGGGATTCCGCGGGGATATTTGGCCTTTTTGTTTTTATTCTTCCATCCGCCCATCCCAAACCTCAACACGGCGGCTGAGCCAACGACTGCGACGGGATCCGTTGCGTATTTCTGAATCTTTTTTGCGTTGCAGCGGCAGGCCTGGTGTGTCCTGCTTGGCAGACACGGTGGACGGGAGTGGGCTGCCGTATCGGGAAAGCGATGGTCGCGGCGGAGCGTGTTGCGTACTTTGCAATTTGGCGTGTTTGTGGCGATCCTTGCGGATGATGTGACGGCGCCTGTTTTACTTGTAGGGAGAGAAGCGATGCTCCACGGTGATGCACACGTTGCGTGTGGAGGTTTGTCTTGCTGTTGGTTTGTGAACGTTTATTTTTTTCTTTTGCCGGAACACCACAGAGGGCGGTGTCTGCGGAAAGCAGAGCATTGCGAGGAGGGGCATCACCCGATTTTTGGCGCGATGAGGCGGCTTCTGTGATTTTACGGTGTTTATTTTCAGGATTGAGAGGCTATCCTTTGCTGGAATGTATTGTGGGAGACCATCCGCGTGTTTGTTTTTTAGTTAATCCCTTGGCATTTGGTGTCTGCCGTGAAATGGATGTTGATGGCCTTTTTATGGCGGCGAGATGCATGTTTATTTATTTTATTAACGAGTGGGTGAATTGTTTTGCGTTCTGCCACGCGGCTTGTTGCTGACGGCACGTGGCCGCAGGGAGACGTTGTGAGCGCCTCTGAAACGAGGTGAGATTGAGCAGTCACCTCCTCCGCTCGCCGGTACACGCTGTTGAGGCGGCGTGATGGTAATGAACCAGCTTCCCAGAAAAGCAACAAGAGGACGTTTGTTCTTCCTGCTGCGGTGTACGAGTGGACTCTCCAATCTGTGGGCGGGGTTGCCCTGCGTGCCGTATTTCTTTGAATTCCATGAGTTTTTTACATTGCAATCCACACGCACATGCACGCAATCCCCCTGTTTGCCCTCCTGTGGGCGGGAGACCGGGATGCAAAGGGAAAATGTGGCCCGTGCCAGCATGTGGTAAATTCTTTCTTGGGAGGGATTGCGACTGTGATGTACGTCCTGGCAGGCAGGAATGGGATGGGCGAAGAGCAGAGGGCGAGTAACAACGATCCTGTGCGGAGCAATGCGCAGTGACTAGGGCGGAGTGGTATTTATGTTGGGTTTTAAATGCATTTTTGTCTTTTTCTTATCTGACGATGGAAATAAACTTTGGGTGGTGTGTTGTGGATTATTTGCTGGTGATTCAGCGCGGCAACACCATTTGCGGATAAAATGAATGACATCGGCGTGAGGCTTGTTTTTTGAGCGCGAGACGGTCGGGGAGGTGCTCAACGCTCCGAGAGGCCCGGAGCAAAGAGGCGCGCACTGCTGCAAGCAGAGGGATGCACGCTCCTGTTGGTGACGTTGCTGTGGAGCCCTGAAGTGCCTGCAGGGAATTTGTTTTTCCCGCCTCATTATTTTGTTGATTGGTGCTTGCCGAGGCCTTTTGAGGCGGGGCGTGAGATGGACCGAGAGAGCGTGTGTCGCGCGGCGGTGCTGTGATTTGGTGCTGCCCACGTTTGTGCAGATAATTCCGTTTGTGTCCGCGTTCTTGCCGCGGCGGTGCACCGGGAGCGTGTGACTGATCACTGTATCACTTGCGGACTGTTTTGGCAGGACTTTGAATGGCGTCGCCGAATGATGAAATTCCGCGTCCATTTGTGTGTGTGTGTGTGTTGGCTTCCTCTGTGACTTGCCGTGTTGTTTTTTTATGTGGGCGATGTTTTTCCGTGATGTCCCTTACAGATTCTATTTTGTCCGCACCTTGCGTGAGTGATGTGCCCTGCTCTGCTCCTCGCTGACGTGTCTGATGTATTGCCGCTGTTGCTGCTGTACTCTCCACTTCTTGAACACAGACACACGCTAGGAAAGGAAGTAAGGCTAAACGCTAATCGCTACTGTGAAATTCGAAGGCTCTGAAAGGACCAACAACACACACACCGCCCACACATATTTGTATGCTCTCACGTGTTGCTGCAGTGATGGCACCCCGCACACACAACCGTCGTCGCGTGACCGGATCCCGCGGGAGGAGGAGGGAAGGAAGAGAGAGTGAGCCGCAGAGGCGCAACATGTCGCGGCATCTCTTCTGCACTGCAGTGCTTCTTCTTGTTGTGATGATCTGCTGTGGATGTGGAGCTGCGCACGCTGAGCAGGCAGGGGCCACTGTTGATCCGTTCACAGGGACGACGCCGATATCATTTGCTAATTGGAAGGGGTTTAACGAGGCCGGGAGGAAAATCACCTCGCTCCGTGCTCCTGGCCTCGTTAAAGTGGGTGAAGATGTATTTGCCGTTGCTGAAGCGCAGTGCGTGGAGGAGAACGGAGCCGGCCGCCGTGCTGGGATTGTCTCAAAGCACCTGAATATAAGTGATGACCCAATGGATATTTCGACGTCGGATATAAGTTTGTTTTGCATGCAACTTGGGGACACCGCCGCGAATAATTTTGGGGCAACAGAAGTGTTGCGACCAACGACGCTTGTGTTTGGGAACAGTGTTTACATGCTCCTGGGAAACCAAAGCCATACAAAGCCGCAGTTTCAAGGTGAGAATGAGCGGGGTCTTTTACTCGTGAAGGGAACTGTCGCCAATGAGGGTGGAAACAACAAGAAACTTTTGTGGAATGAGGCCCATTTGGTGAAGCCTCAAGGCAGAGGGGATTCTGGTTCCTTGACCGAGTTAATTGGCGGTGGAGGATCGGGTGCTGTGATGCGTGACGGCACGCTTGTGTTTCCCATGCAGGCCAAAGGCAACGATGGACAGAGCGTTTTACTCTCTATGAGTTTTACCCCGTCAAAGAACAAATGGGAATTTTCATCCGAAGCGACTGGTAAAGGCTGCAGGGATCCATCCATTGTGGAGTGGGGAGAAAACGAAGGCGACGAAAGACCCTTCATGATGGCTCAGTGTGCTGGAGGCTACTATGACGTTTACAGGTCCACTTCGCATGGAGTCAGTTGGTATGATTTGGGCGAGCCAATTAACCGCGTGTGGGGCAACTCACGTGATCGAGCAGGGGACGGCGTCAAGAGTGGATTTACCACCGCAACCATTGAGGGAAAGGAGGTGATGCTCATCACCGCGCCGGTTTATCCTAAGGAGGAAAATGAAGGTGTAAAAGGTCGGCTCCATCTTTGGGTGACGGACAATGCACGTGTGCACGATGTTGGGCCGATATCCCGTGAAGATGATGACTCTGCCGCGAGCTCGCTGTTGAAAAGTAAGGATGAGCTGATTTTACTGTACGAGAAGAGGAATGGTGACAGGCCATACAGTCTTGTCGCCATGCGCCTGACTGAGCAGCTGAAGCGGATAAAGGAAGTGGTGAAGACATGGAAATAATTGGACAACGCCTTGAAAGTTCCCACTGAAGGGCTGGTTGGTTTTTTATCCAGCACATTGGACGGGACTGCATGGAAGGACGAGTACCTCGGCGTGAATGCCACAGTGAGGGGCGGAGTGACCAGCACGGAGAGCGGTGTGACGCTCAAGGGATCAGAGGCGAAGTGGCCTGTTGGCGACATGGGGCAGACTGTGCCGTACTACTTTGCGAACAACAAGTTCACTCTTTCGGCGACGGTGTCCATCCACGAGGTGCCGAAGGAAGGCAGCATTCCTTTGATTGGTGCGAGGCTGAACGACAAGGACAGCACGGTGCTCTTTCAACTGTCGTACACGAGTGAAAGAAATTGGAACTTCACACTTCACAAGAAGGATTTTTTGGTGAAGCCGTCTGGTGATGTTGGCAATTGGGAAACAAA